CCCCCCAAATATTACACTGTCTGAGCCTCTTTTCTTTTCCTGCCTACAGTGTAATGAGACAGACGGGGATTGCTTCTACCAGACATACAGCTCGGGCGTGGACGCTGTGCAGGAGTGGTATCGCTTTCAATATATAAATATCCTCGCTCGAGTACCAAAGGATGGCGAGGTCACTGAAGAGCAGCTGGAGAATTTCATCATCGCCTGCCGATTTAACGAAGAACACTGCATGCAGGCTGGGTATGTATGGGTACTGGGTATATAGGTGTGAATTATTATTCTTAGAAAACTGACATTTCAGATTCTGCCAAAAAAAAATGATGCTCAGGCAGCTGGCTTTCCAGCACCCCACTATGAGGTAGTACAGATACGGCATGTTGTAACCCTTGCAATGTACCATTAAAGCAAATTTGTGTCCTACTGGAGAGATTTCCCATCACATCCTGTCCTAAAAATGCAATAGGAAGCGAAGGGAAATCAGACTACAGTGAGAGAAATCTTAAACAACCAACACGAGAACAGGTGCCCCCATCAGAACATTTTCCTTAATTCCTGCTTTGGTGACAACATTTCAGATTTTCACTTACTTTTAGTTCCTGTGGCAATGAGCACAAGGACAAATAGATTGAATTAATCTTCCCACCGAGGACACAGACAGCAATAAATACATCCAAGGGTAAGTGGGGATGAGGTGCTGGACCGTGAACTTTCTCTGGTCAAATAGGAGCAATATTTGGGACTGATGGCTTGGTTCCAGCAGCTCTTCACAAAACAGGGGGCCCTCCAGAAGGAGGGGATGCCCAGAATGAGAAATCCATATGAATGAAGACTAAAAAAGAATTCCAGGTAATCATCTCAAGAATCCCAATAAACTTTATTGGCTTCACAAATGGCGGCATTAATATATGCACAGCCAATGTGTTTCAGTGGTCATTCCCTTTCAACAGGGCTTAATTGTCACATTGGGTAGGGAGGGAGTCCTTAGCTCTGCGTAAGTTACTTTCCCTCTACTCCCATGTGATGGTGTTGGTGATTGGTTCAGTCACGTAAGAAGGTGAGAGAGTCTTTAGCCATGGGTAAGCTCCCTTCCCTTTCTTCCATGTGACACCACTGGTGCTTGATGATTGGTCTAACATAGCCCATAATGATGATTGGTCATAACATAGGGAAAGAGTCCTCAGCCCTTTGTCAGCTACCTTCCCTTTCCTCCCATATGACAGTGCTGGTGATTGGTACGGCATTGCCACATGAGAAGGGGTGAGAGTCCTCAGCCATGGTATCTCTATAGGTTGGACTGTATCTCTATAGGTTGGACTCGATGGACTAACTATGTAGCTATGTAACTATGGGTAAGCTCCCTTCCCTTTCTTCCATATGACACCACTGGTGCTTGATGATTGGTCTAACATAGCTCCCTATGTAAGCTCACCTCCTTCTTTTATGTGATATTGCTGGTGCTTGGTAATTGGTCCAGCGTTGTCACATTGGAGTAGGGAGAGAGTCCTCAGCCCTGTGTAAGCTCCCTTCTCTTCCTCCCGAATGACAGTGCTGGTGTTTGTTGAGCGATTCAGCGCTGTCACATTGGTGCAAGGAGAGAGACCTTAGCCTCTTAGATTCTTGAGATTACCTGGCATTCCTTTTTCACATGGATTTCTCATCCTGCACATCCTCTCCCTCTGGAGGGTCCCCTGTTTTGTGAAGAGTTGCCGGAACCGAGCCATCAGGCCCAAATATTGCTCCTATTCAACTAGAGAAAGTTTGTGGTAAGCTACCTACCTCTTCTCCCATCTGACAGCTTTGGGTGCTTGGTATTTGGTCTAACTGTCATATGGGAAAGGGAAGAGAGTCTTGAGCCTTGTATAAACCCTACAACCAAACGAAGCAGAAGACTAACAAACGTAAAGTAAGTCTAAGCAGCCAACAGTCCTGTCATTAAGGTGAACCAGGTACATGGACCTGCCTGAGCACAGCACAGGTTTACCTAATCAGTTTGTGGCAGGATCAGGAAGCCATCACTTGTCTGCATAGGGACATCACCTGACCTGCCAGGTTCAGAAGAATCAATTGGATGCAGTGGGTCAGCTAAACACTATTGGCCCCAAAACCCTTTTTCCCCCCCCCCCCCCTTCCCCAAATCAACATTTTGGATTTCTTCTTCTTTTCCCCTTTTCTTCCTCCATAGGCCTAACCATGAATGCTCATGGAATCCATGGGAACGTGCAGTTATAGCTCCGTCTACTGTTTCCCTATCGTAATAAGCAAATGTTTGTAATTCAGTTTGTTTGTTTACCAGGAAATAAATAGATTTATTTCTTTGAATGCAGGAACTACTCACATTTCCACCACCCCATCTACGGAAACTGCTACACATTCAACCACAACCACTCTGAGGGTGACACATGGAGCTCCTCTATGCCGGGGATGAAAAATGGTCAGTTCTTTGTTCTACAACACCAAAATCGCCAAAACAAAAAGAAACCTTGTTTGTGATGTCTACTAAAGACGGTTTTCAAATATTTAAAGTGTATCTCCAGGCATATGTTCATTTTTGCCTATAAATAGCTCTTTGTACATTCATAAAAAGCTAATTGATCACCTCCATTTACGTTGCTGTTGATCCTGCCAGTTTTTTCTAATACATGTAATTTCCTGCAGAAGACTGACACCACTGCAAGACTGCTGCTGAAATTACAGCGGTGTTGTCAGCCCTCCATACTGCATCCCACCAAAATGTGAAGATGTAGTCTTATGTGGGGGTTGAGGGGTGGCATCTCCTGCCATGATATATAGGAATTGATTTACTTAAGGCAACTAGGCTGTTCACTTCGCAAGGGAATGTGCACTTTTCAGGGGTGTTTCCTCTTGCCTTAGTGAATGTGGTGAAATTTCACTTTCCAAGAATACCCAATCACATGCAAGGACACCATCATCCACCATCATTGCACATGACTGGATGATGGAAGTCAGCAGAGCTTCACCTCATTCACTAAGTGGAACTTCCTGTGCAAAGTGCAAATTCCCTTACTAAGGGAACAGACTATTTGCCCTTAGTAAATAAACCCCATAGCCATCCCCCACTGGCCGTAGAGTACAGAGCATTGAGGGATGAATAGTCACAAGAAAAGGTCATATGTTGACAACGTTTAGAAACTTCAGCCTAACATCTAAAAAACTCCTTCCAATGCTTGAGCTTTTAAATATAATAAGACATCCAAAAGGCCTGAATCATCACCTGGCCACTCCTAGTCCTGCCCACTGCTTTCTGGATTGACAGCACGGCCCCTCTGTTGTTGAAACCCTCCCACTGATCTGCAGTGTCTGGGTTGGAGAACGAGTGAGACACAACTGAAGGCGGAGTCAGGGGAGGTAAAAGTATAAGTAAAGGCAAAGGTTTTAAGATTTAGATTAAGTGGTGAGTGTTTAAAGCCCCTGTCAGGGTTTTTATCGTTGCCTGATTGTCCTCATCCCCAATGATTACCAGGAATGGAAGTGAGGGTAAATCCAAAATTTTGCATTGCCACCAGAACGTAAATAGAGGGGAAATCTTCCAATGGGGACCAGTTCCAGTAACAGCTGCCTAAAAGGCGATCTTCCTTGTTGGAAAGATATCCTCTCACTTCCTGTTGAGTCTACTGAAGATAAAGTGAAGGATTGCTTCCTAATGAGACACATGGGGGGAAAAAACCTGACAGCGGTCTTAACCCTCCCCTACTCTATTGAGAATGAAAATGACTTTAAGGACGTTTTTGGTTTATTTTAGGTCACATAGTAACTGGATTTGGGGTTTGTTTAGACTGTTATACAAGAGCATTTAGACATAGTTTAAGTAAAGGTGGCCATACACTTTACAACCCTTGCAAGACTTTTGTCTTGTGAAGGTTGTAAAGTAATTAAAAAAAAGTACGATCTGCCCATCTTGAACAGGCAGATCATACTTGCGATCATCCGATGACTGCAATGAGGGGCGGGCTTCCGATGACTGCAAACGGGCAGTGTGCGCGTGCGCACACCAGCCCTGTTCGGCAGTTGTCGAACAAGCAGGCCACTAACTCGCCGAGAATCGTACCATTCCCGGCGGGTTTTCCAGCCTGCTTGTTCGACGGAAGACGTGCGACCGCACAGTAGAAACGGTCGCGCGCCTTCCACACACTTTGCGATTATCATACGATCGTGGGATTTCCCGCGATTCTCGTACGATAATCGTGCAGTGTACGGGCACCTTAAATATACTTAATAAAAATCTGTTGGGATTTGAAATGTTTGTCTTTTGTAGCGCTCACTCCCTAAGGAGCCTCTGGAATAACCCGGGTCATCACTAGCCTGTCTAGGGGATTTGTTCTTCAGCTGCCCCATTAGCATTTAACTGCCCTCTTCTAGTGCCCATAAAGCTAATGTCCACGCCAGTAATGCAATGCTGAATAACCTTTTTAACATCTTCATTCTTGGGAGAGAGGGTATAGGGATCCTAGACATCCAGGGTGTAACAGACATAGACTCCAGACCTTTTAAGCATCTCAGTGTAGATCCACTTGAGGTACAGCGAATGGTAATTTGAGTAACAGTTGAGCAGGGGATGAGCATAAATCCTAAGTAGGAGAGACACCAGCCATGCTCCTGAGGTCCTCTAGATTCTGAGTACCTTCAGCAGCCCTCCATCTTCCTGGCTCTCTTCCTCTGGCAGCAACACAGGCCTCCTCCATAATTGAGGCCCAGGGAAACACTTCCCACGCGCCAGCCTCTGCCCACCCCCCAGACCTAGCCTGGGGGGTGACTGGATAGCACACAGTCCTGTGCTAATCCATGGCTGGTCCGGACTAGTCTCCGAACATAGCAATTCCCTTCCGTATATGTACCCTATCCCAGCATGCACCACTGGTTGAGAGAAACCCAGTGATTGGCTGCTATACTGTACATACACTCACAGTGCCTCTCATTGGCTGTCCCACAATACAGCAGAGTCACACTCCACCCAGTAGGGTACAGTCAACGCTAGACACCTGGAATTAACCAGATAAATGCCAACTATAATCCAGCCAGGTTGCCTACAGATTTGGCAATCACTAAATGTCTAGTAGCCACCTCACAAAAGGTGATGGGGGCTACACTTTCAAAAACTATTTATAGGACAATTTCAGTTAAGCTGTGGTTTTTGAACCCCCTACCCTCCTATAGTGGGTATCCCATGGGTAAATACTTACCTACAGGCCACTCCTTTACTTTGCATCCTTGTCTGGTAATGCAAAGCCTTCACCTATTGTGCATGTGCATCGCGGTCCCTGGTTACCCTCATCTATGGTGCTGTACTCCATTGAACATGGGCCCATTCATAGTAATAAGTTAGGTAAGTATTTACCCCCAGAAAATCCTGTAGGTGGGGTGTTATAAAGGAAATCTTCACTTACAGGTATGTTGCCCTTTAATGATATCATAATAATATATTTTACAGACCTTTTGTATTTATAAGGTTTGGAGTGGTCACAGTAAACCACAATAAGTAACGGTTGTTTATCTGAGGACACACATTGAATAATTAACTTTTCTCTTTGTAGGTTTGACACTCGTCCTTCACACTGAGCAGCACGACTACATTCCACTCTTATCCTCTGTCGCGGGGGCACGTGTACTGGTTCATGGCCACCATGAACCGGCGTTCATGGATGACAGTGGTTTTAACATCCAGCCTGGGGTGGAGACCTCCTTAGGCATGAGAAAGGTAGGGTTCAATAGGAATCCACACAGTAATGCTAAGCTATGTGAATAACTGTTTACTTGGGTCTGCATTTTGCTTATGGATGCCCCATTGGGAAGAATGAAGACTGCTTTGTGAATGTTTGGGCCTGTAACGGAAATCAGATGCGTACCTGAGGCACCATCTTGATCTAATAACCACCTACAGTGCTGTGACTCAGATAGCCCCAACATTTTTGGAATTGTTTCACCAGAATGGACAACCTCTGCCCATAAGAGGTATATTAAAGCCAGCTGATGCTGTACATTGGTCTTCCTTCTCCATCCTGACCAGATCTTGGAGTCATCAAAGTCCACCTTATTTATGTTACAGGAAGGTGTCTCCAGCTGACCACTACATTATACGGTGCTCTAATAACTAAGGAAAAATCAGGCGTATACAGCGGAAGCATAACCTGAGTGTCAAAGAGGACTGGTCTGTGAATGGGCCATATGTATGGTCTGGAAATGGGTACACTGTTCACAAAGAAGTCCCTGATGGTAGACTCCTTTAGCCCAGTAATGCAGTCGTCAACAGGGCTAGTGGAATCTGTCATCAGGGACTTCTTTGTGAACAGTTTACCCATTTCCAGAATATACACATGGTTCATTCACAGGCCAGTCCTCTTTATTAGAGCTTCATAACATACCACCAAAAGCATCATGGCTTTACTGACATAGTTGGATGTAAGTTGATATCCATCCCTAACCCCTGGAAGATATTTGCTCCAAAGGTCAGCCCGAAGGTCGTTAATAGAAAGTGAGAAGTATCCATCCCTGATGTGCACCTTCTCTTAGCTCCTTCTGAGTAAGACCCCCATCATGTTGGGTGACTATCTGGCCTGTTTATATTCTTGGCCTTATAATTGCAACAGTGCTATTTTAATTACAACTGTGCTAATACCAGTGAATTGAAGGGACATGATGAATAGATTATGGAGTGGTTGGCCAAAGACCCAGGAAGTCCAATTATCTACAGGAAGATTTGCATAACCTCACTCGCTATTCTTAAATCTTCTAATCCTTGTTAATGGGAGTTGTGATGGAAGTAATGACGTGTCAATAACTCTTGTTTCACTAAGATTACATGACGTGATAAACTATGTGGTTTCATATACCGAGACATAACTCAAGTTTATCTTCAATGGAGCTGTAGATAAAAGTCGACTCCCCACAAAACCACATTACTGGAAGCCGACTAAAGCCTAAGTGATATTATCTGAAAGTGAAAAAAAGCAAATGCAGCACAAATACAACATAAACAATTTTCAAGGGGAAAGTTTGGGAAAAAATTCATCCAGGTCTTGTAAGATGAATGACGATGGGTTATATTGGTTCCTGCAATATGTTACGGCATTTTAATTTGGAAATGTAGACCTTGTGTCTGCCTATCTCTGTCATGTGTCTTTTCATAGGCCATGAAAAAAAACAAAAGTTTGGTTTGACCACATAAAAAGAGTTTGCTGGCAGACACTAGTTAAATGTCTGACACCTACAAAGGAAACGGAGCAGGAAAAGTGTGGGGTGCTGGATCACTTTGTCTGGGTAGGTATCTGGTTTAAGTATTTGGTCTGATGTATGGGAGGTTCTTTGGGTTCCTTAATGGCAGCTGTCTAAAGGTCAGGGGCTGTGGGTTGGCTCATATCGCAAGTCAACTATAGATACAGGGAGGAAATTTCCCAAACAAGTAGTATGGAGTCTCCTAATTAGAAGACTCAATTAGGAAAAGCCAGTGTGTTTTAGGGTCCTCCCTTACCATGGCCACAAGAACATACATAGAGGATATAATGCAATATATAATCTCTTAAGATGACTCACAAATGGCAAGTATGCATTACCAGTCTTACCTGTAGTTGCCTGTGTTTGCAAAACAAGCAGTGGCTTCCCCGCTGTACACTTAGCCCTGCTTGCCTAAATCAGGGCTAAATGTAGAAAACAACTACTCGCTCGGCATGGCCCAGGCATCAGGAGATAGGAATTCCACACCCCTGCTGCCCCTCTATGCCCTGCTGCCCCGAGGCCGGGCCTCAGTGGGCCTTGTGGTAAATCCGGCCCTGCATACAGGGAAGACTGGTAATGTTTGTTCCAGCTACCGGTCCCCTTTGTTCAGCAACAGCACACCGACACTCACGGACAGAATGGACTCAAGTCTTAGGGTCTTTTTGTAGATTTATTTGCAAGGATTAACAGGAGAGAGGATTTGGGGTCTGTAGGATGCCCTGGCGGATTCTTCAAAGGACTGCTTTCTCCCCTAGCAACCTCTAAGGCTGATAGCACTGTGATCTGGTCCCAGGGACCAATAGTATTAGCAATACTACAAACAGCCAGGAGGGTCCAGTAACTTATATGGAGAAGGTTAGCTATCTCTGGACTCAGGTAAGAATCGCTGGCTTCTTCTAGAACAGATACCTGGAATACGGTGAGGGATCTCTCTTTGTGGGTCCCAGACGAACGCTCTCACCAGCTCCTCTGCGGTACCCTTCAACAAGAAGACTCTACCTCCGGCCCAGCTTCCATCAGGTCTTTTCCTCTTCAGTATCTGGAATCTCTGTGCCCTCAGCATCTGAAACTGCCAAGGAGCACTCCAGGTTAGTGGTAGTAGGCACCCAACACCTGCCACGTGTATTGGGCCCAAGCCCTATGGTGTCCTAGGCCTCTAAGCCCCCAGCACCTGCCATGTGCTGAGGCCCAGGCCAGTTTCATCTGCATCACAGAGACCTCCTAGGGAGAGGCCCCCAGGGGGAAGAGACCTTTGCACAGTGTCCCCAGACCTTTTATTACCTGCCCTCAGTCATCCTACTCAGGGATTGGTCAGGGTCAGGTGCATGGTCATAGTCTGAGGATGGATCCTCCCTCACTGTATGCCAAGGCTCCCTTTTCCTCAGCAACAGCAGGAGCAATCAATCCAGCAGACTCAGGGACACCTATAGAATGCAGAGCTCTGTATAATCAGTATCTAGACTGGTTACAGTCCAGACATTTCACTAGATTTAGTAGTGACATTCTAGAGGGCGCTACACATACTTACCCTAAGTAATGAACCCACATAGCCCTGGATTGTGCTGGCTTTTTATTAACTGATACTTCTAATAAAATCAGTTCTAGTGGACTCCCTACTACTTGTTTGGAACCTTCCTCTCTGTCCATCTATCGTTGACCTACAAAGAAAGTGGCACGGAAGCTACAGGTGACCCTGGAGCTGTGGACAATGTTCTGTGTATGGTTCCTGCAGATATTCATTCAAAATGGCCGCACTCAAAGAGAACTCTATATTAAAATGGATACATCAAGTAACCTCTAAAATAACATTCAGGTCTTGGGGAACCTTTACAAAAAACAATTCATCAGAGGTCAATGGTAAAAATGCCTCCTACATTGGAGGTCAGTAGGAAGAACGCAACCCTTATAGTGGTGGTCATAATGTCACCCTTACAGGCAGCTAAAAAGATAATTTGGCGTCATTTTGCTGTCATTGCCAAGTGACCTTGGTCCTGGGACTATGCAGGCACCAGCAAATGAGAGGTCAATCAGCCCCAGCTTAAAGGAACACCTAGCCATCTCTGAAGGAACTTCCACAGAACCCTGGTTTTGAATGGCTGGCCTATGCTGAGAAGGTTAGGAGAATGGGTGTGAATCAGTAGTTTAACAACAGAAAACTAGGCAGGGCTGACACCAAATCTTGCAATTTCAGTCCACAAAAAGGCACATGGTGTCATTCCACTAGAGGAAATTAGGAGCTGAGTGCATTTTTGACAGTTTAGTAGGCACATCTCTCTACTTTCACGGTATTTAAAGGCATAACCCATGGGGAAATTGTGCAAAAGTCCAAAAACTGCCTTTGCTGCAATACCCAACTCTTTCCGGGTGCTCTCATACTAAACTTACTGATTCGTGGTCCAGCATCATCCTCTTCTGTGTTGAATGCCACCCATCATAATCATCCAACCCACTTTCAGTGAGCCCGGGCCTGTATAATCCATTTTTCTTTTGTATGCAGGAAACAATCAGCCGCCTGGGTGGAGATTACAGCGATTGTTCTGAAGATGGCAGCGATGTTGATGTGAAGAATTTATTTAACAGTGAATATACACAACAGGTAATATATTTTAATACATTTATATTTGAATATATTGAACTCAGGGCAACAGTGACAGGTTCCTTTGCTAGTCCAAACCCAACCCACTTAGTCCCACCTTCTCACAGGGCCTGGTAGAAGTCTTCCAGCACCGACTTTCTTTGCGGCTCTGAGATGTCATGTGACAGATTGCTAAGAGTCGCAAAGGAAGCTAATGCTGGACATGGGAATCTGTACTTATCATGTAAGGGCCACTTGGTGGTATTTGCACCCTAAGCCAAAGGTTCCCAGTCCTCCCCTGGTATGTTGGGCAGGTGGCCCTGACTGGAGATACTTCACCATTCAGACATTGATTAAAGCTGGTCAGTCAGTGACACATGCTGGATATTTTATATCTATCTGCTCCCCATTCAGACCTGCAATCACAGCTCCTTGCAAAGGGAAGTCTTCCAGCACCAACTTCCTTTGCGACACTGAGATGTCATGTGACAGAATGCTAAGAGTCACAAAGGAAGCTAATACTGAGGATGGGAATCCCTATCATGAAAGGGCGACTTGGTGATATTTTTCCCCTTAAGCCAAAGGTTCCCAGTCCTCCCCTGGTATGTTGGGCAGGTGGCCCTGACTGGAGATACTTCACCATTCAGACATTGATTAAAGCTGGTCAGTCAGTGACACATGCTGGTTGTTTTATATCTATCTGCTCCCCATTCAGACCTGCAATCACAGTGCCTTGCAGAGGGAAGTCTGATTGGAAGTCTTCCAGCACCAAATTTCTTTGCAACTCTGAGATGTCATGTGACTGAATGCCAAGAGTCGCAAAGGAAGCTGATGATGAGGATTGGAATCTGTACTTATCATGAAAGGGTCACTTGGTGATATTTTAAACCAAAGCTTCCCAGTCCTCCCCTGGTATGTTGGGCAGGTGGCCCTGATTGGAGATACTTCACCACTCAGACATTGATTAGAGCTGGTCAGTCAGTGACACATGCTGGTTATTATATATCTATCTGCTCCCCATTGAGACCTGCAATCACAGCTCCTTGCAGAGGGAAGTCTGATTGGAAGTCTTCCAGCACCTAATTTTTTTGCAACTCTGAGATGTAATGTATGGTAGGGATGCACCAATACCGGAAGTCCCATTAAGGAAGCCAGGCGGCATGTAGTGACTCGCCACCTGGCTTCCTGATTAGCCAGGAAGCCGTCTACATGCTCCCTCGTCACCTGGCGACTGAGCACAGAGCCGTCTTTCTGGCCAATCAGGAAGCTGGGCAGCGTGTAATGACTCACTGTCCGGCTTCCTGATACCAGAAGTATCGTGCTAGGCATCGGAGCATTTGGGAGAGTACTCGCCCAAATACTCGGTATCAGCACCGATACCGATACTAGTATCCCTAATGTATGGTATTTTGTCCCTTAAGCCAAAGGTTCCCAGTCTTCCCCCGGTGTGTTGGGCAGGTGGCCCTGATTGGTAAACATGTGCGATTCGTTTCTGAAAAATTCGTTTTTCGGACGAGTTTCCGAATAACAGAAACGACGAATGAAAACGAATCCGAATTTCCGAAAACGAACATTTCGGACAAAATAGTCTTTTTCGTCTGTGGACGAATTTTCGTTGCAGCAAAGTGACTTTAAAAAAAACTGTTTTAATGTCATTCTGCTGCAACGAAAACAAACATGAAACGGAAACGAAAGTTCGTACAGACTACCGCTAACGAATCTCGTCCGAATCCGAACCCCAAGACGAATTGACTTTCGGACCCAAATACCGAAAAACGAAATAACGCAATATCTGAATCGAAATGAAACGAAACAAATGTTTTGCCGGTGCACATGTCTACTGATTGGAAACCTATCATGTAAGGTCAATTGGTTGTATTTACTTCCCAAGACAAAAGTTCCCAGCCCTCCACGGCAGTGGCGTCATAAGGGGGGTGCGGCCCGCACCCGGGTGACACCATTGGAGGGGTGACACCAGAATGACTTACTTTGGTGTCACCCCCCTCTGAAAAGTCGGGCGCTCGGTCATGGACCAAACGCCCGACAGTATCAGGAGAGAGGAGGGGACCCGGCGGCATACCTTATCCCGCCGGGTGGCTGTCTCCTCCTCTCTCTGCCGGCGTCCATCACCAAGATGGACGCCGGCAGGTATCAGAATACTGCTGCGTGTGCGCGATGACGTCATCGCGCACACGCGTGGTGACGTCTCGGTGGGGTGACACTCGGACACCGCTCCGGGTGTCACCCAGCCTCGGGATGCCCCTGCTCCCCGGTACTAATACACAAGACTTGGTGTTGGATGTTCCTGCATTGATATGTATGTTAGCGCGGCCCATAAGACGACTCACTCAGCGTCCGCAGACCTTTTCCGGCTAGCATTTGGGCACTTTCTTGCACACAGATTACACAGTTCTGCTTTTGGAATAGTTCCATGTCAGTTCACGTCTAAACATATTTCATGATGGTTTGCTGACTTCTTCTTTCTTAGTAACTATTTTACTGTTCCTCCTTTATTTTCGGATCCACCTCAAGCTTGCGTAACAGGCTCTGGCTGTCACAACTGTCCCGTGATCCCTCTTTCCGGTCCTTTGACTTCCTTTTCTTCTGCTGGGCTATCTCCAAATGTTAGATAGTCGCTGTTTAGAAGCACAATGGTTTATGTAAAAATATTTTTTTTTTTAAAGAGAACCTGTCATGCCTGATGAAGGGACCCCGCAGAGCTGTAGCTAGCTCCTTTTGCGCCCGAGGCAAGAACAGAAAATTGTGCCCCCCCCCCCC